TCTCACGGCTCGTGGGTTCGAGCCCCGCGTCGGGCTCTGTGCTGACTGCCAGCTCAGAGCCTGGAGCCTGTTTCAGAGTCTGACTCCCTCTCTCTCTGACCCTCCCCTGCTCACGCTGTCTCTCTCTCTCTCCTAGAAATAAATAAATAAATAATAAAATAAAATAAAATTGTTATATCTTCTTGTTGGATTGTCCCCTTTATTACTATATAAAATAGTAATAATTCCTTGTTTGTCTCTTGTTACAGTCTTTGTTTTAAAGTCTCTCTTGTCTGATAGAGTATTGCTACTCCAGCTTTCTTTTCACACCCATTTGCATGATAGATATTTTTCCATCCCTCACTTTCAATCTGTAGGTGCCTTTAGGTCTCAAATAAGGCAGCACATAGATGGGTCTTACTTTTCTTTTTCATTCATTCTGTCACCTTATGTCTGTTGATGGGAGCATTTAGTCCATTTACGTTCAAAGTAATTATAGTGGTGCCTGGGTGGCTTGGCTCGGGTCATGATCTCATGGTTGTGAGACGAAGCCCTGCTTTGGGCTCCATGCTGGATGTGGGGCCTGCTTGGTATTCTTTTTCTCTCTGTCCCTCCTCCTCCTAATGAAAACATTTTGAAAATTAATATTGACAGATATGTATTCATTGCCATTTTGTTACTTGTTTTGTGGTTGTTTCTGAAGATTTTTTTCTGATCCTTTCTTGTCATTCTCTTTCATGCTTTGCTGATTTTCTTTAGAGATTTATTTGGATTTCTTTATTCCTTACATGTTTATTAGTTTTTGATATACGGTTACCATTAGGTTTGTATATAATCTCTTCTGCACTAGCAGTCTATATTAAGTTGATGATCATTTAAGTTTGAACTCATTCTTCTCTCCTCTGCATGTTTTAGGTATATATTATTGTATCCTTTTTTGGGGGAGTTCCTTGACTGATTTTGTAGAGAAATATTCATTTTTATTGCTTTTGTGTTTCCTACCTTTTTACTGTCACTTTTGGTCTCCCCCTTTTTTGTTTTTTATTTTTATATACCAATTTGTATTTGTATTTTGTATTTTTTTAATTTTGTATTTAAAAAAAATTTTTTTATGGTGACAAAAATTATATTTAGATTTAGCCAGCTGGACTCAGTTTAGATGATCCCAATTTTGTTGGCAACTTCCAAAGCATCATAGTCAGGAGCCAGTCAAACATATGCTTTCTTTTCTCCATCAGGCTTGATCAGCGTGTTGACCTTGGCCACATCAGTGTCATAGATCTTCTTCACAGCCTGTTTGATCTGGTGCTTGTTGGCCTTGACATCCACAATGAACACAAGAGTGTTGTTGTCATCTATTTTCTTCATGGCTGACTCGTTCGTCAGCGGGAAATTGATGATGGCATAGTGGTCAAGCTTGTTTCTCCTGGGGCACTCTTTCGAGGACATTTGAGCTGCCTTTGGAGACGCGGTGTCGGGCCGTCGGAATGTAGGTGACATGTGGATCTTCTTTTTTGTTTTTTTTTTTTTATGACTGGATGCCTCTCAGCACTGCTTTTCTGGCCTACAAGGCCTTTGCTTTGGCTTCAGCTTTGGGAGGGGCAGGGGCTTCCTTTTTTGCCTTTGGTGCCATCTTTGTGAAAGGCTATATTTTTTATTTTTTAAAAGTTATTTATTTATGTAATCCCTGCACCTACTGTGGGGCTCAAACTCATGACACCAAGATCAAAGTCACATGCTCTACTGATTGAGACTGCCAGGTCCTCCTTTCTACTCAAAGAGTCCCATTTAATATTTCTTTCAGGGTTGATTTAGTGGTCATGAACTCCTTTAGGTTTTGTCTGGGAAACTCTTAATCTCTCCTTCTATTCTGAATGATAAGCTTGCTGGAAAAGTATTCTTGACTGAAGATTTTTCCTATTCAGCACCTTGAATATGTCATGCCACTTTTTGTCTTGCTGCTTTGTTTGTTTACTTTATTTATTGAGAGAGAGAGAGAGAGACAGAGACAGAGACAGAGAGAGATGAATCCCAAGCTTTCAGTGCAGAGCCTGACACAGGGCTTGAACTCACGAACCATGAGGTCATGACCTGAGCCAAAACCAATAGTTGGATGCTCAATGAACTGAGCCACCCAGGCTTCCCTGTCTTGCTTTTAAGATTTCTTTATTACTATATTTTTTCAGTTATAATGTATCTTGGTGTGGGTCTGCTTTTGTAGATTTTGATGGGAAATCTCTGTGTCTCCTGTTCCTGGTTATCGGTTTCCTTCTCTAGATTAGGGTACCTTTCAGCTATTTCTTCAAATCAATTTTATGCCCCGTTTTTCTCTCTTCTTATGGGAGTCCTATAATATGAATGTCATTACATTTGGAGAAGTGAATTCCCTGTCTGTTCTTGTGTTGTGTAATTGTTTTTACTCTCTTTTGTTCAACTTGATTATGTTCCATTACTCTTCTAGGTCACTAATTTGTTCCTCTGCTTCTTCCATCCCATTATTCATTCTGTCATGCATGTTTTTCATTTCATTTATAACCCTTTATCTCTATGTTATTCCTTATCTCTGTTGTCTCATGTCCAGTTTTCTCAAGTCCAGTGAGTATCCTGTGGTCATTGCTTTAAACTCTCTGACATGATAGATCTGTTTGGCTTACATCTCTAGCCATGGACTTGTCTTGTTCTTTGAGTTGGGAAAAATTTCTCTCATTTTGTCTACTTTTCTGTGTTAAGTCAGGTAGGTCTTCTGCTCTTAAAAGTAGTGATTTATGAAGAGGAGGTCCTGGGGCACTCTGCAGTTCAGTATTCCCTGTTCACCAGAACCTGGCACTGCAGGGGAGTATCCTATGTGTGTTGATGTCCGGCTGTTGTCGCTCTTCCTTTCAGTGTAGTCATCTGCACGGACTCTCTGCATATTGTGGGCTATGATTGTTCTCTGTAGTGTTAGTGGGGAAGCAGTGTTAGCAAAATTTGTGTTGGGACCCTAGTCCTATACTGGATTTCCCAAAATGCTGTGGCAGCTGGGGACTTGTGCACTGGGGCTAAGTGGTGGGGGTTCAAGGTTTGGCACGAGGTAGCGCTGGGTGATTTGCAGTGGCAGCTGTATACCTGGTGGCTAGGCAGGGTGTAAGCATGGCTTTAGCAAAATTTGCACTGACTTCAGGGACGAGGCCACCAGACTTGGAGGGGGAAGTGCTCTGGAAAACTTGTGGGTATAGTATATTGGTAGTACATTAGGTAGCAAGTGTCTGTGCAGCACCAACTTCTGCAGGTGGCTCTGTGTTTATGCTGGGGTGAAGGAGGAAAATGGCACCTGCCAGCGCCCTCATTTTCCAAGTCCCTTAACATGCCCCTTACTCAGTAGGAACAAATCTATTTGTCCCTGGCGTTGTGTAAGCTCCTGTTTCCATGTTGCCTCTCCAAGCTGGCTGCTCTTTAAGAGCAGAGACACAGCTATCACTTGCCTTGTGCAAAGTCGGCTGACTCCTAAAGCTCCAGGATCCGAGTCCCATTGGTTTTACAAACCAGAATTCAGCCTCCCTGAATTAGTCTTCCTCATGTGAGCTCCCTGGTGCAAGGGCCTGGCTCTCTGCTCTCTTCTCTGCATGCACAGTCCCTCCCTTCTGTGGGCAGCCTCTCTCTGCCTATCTGACCTTCCTAACCTTTCAGATGCAGCTCCACCTATGTACTTACTTAGTTGTGGAGTTTATTCTGCCAGTCTTCAGATCATTCTCTGGTTTATTGACTTGGATTGGACAATATCTAGTTGTAAATGTGGGACAGGGTGAGCTTGGGGTCCTCTTACTCCACCATCTTCCCAAGCTCCTGATGATAAGGTATGTTTTTTGCATATTTTGTATGAGCTAAGCGGGGGTAAAATAAAGCATTTTTTAATGGTCTTATTACTTTCTCTAGTCGAGGACAGTCAAGCACCAAAATGCACTGCTTAGGTAGATGACACATACACTATTGAGAATCTAAAATATTTCTTCATACTGCTATATATTCATGAGATACCTAAATAAGTAGACTGAGCAAATATAGACAATTCTCCAAATACTGTTTCACCAATGCTATGTTAACTCTGGTCAGTATTAGAAGGAAAAAAAAATCCAATCCAATATTAATTTACTTGTTCATAAAGTTTTTAATAAGCTATCATTTTCTTACATGTACACTAGTAAACTTAAAAAGACAAATATTTACTATCAAACATTAAATACTGTACAATTTATAAAAAATATAATTTTAAAAATTTGGAGTAATAAAGGGAAGAAACCAACTTCAAATGGATAAAATAAGAAAATTCTACTACTTTTTAAGAAATTTAACCTGAAAAGATATTTCCAGTTTGTCTAAGGGAATACTAAAAATTTTTACTGATGCCAGAGATCATACTACTTTTGTTCAAGCCTTTATATAGCTTTAAATAATCCTGAAAAAATTACTTTCCAGTACATATAAGGCTGTTAAACAGAGTGCATGACTGAGAGAAGGATTATGCTAGTATGTGAAATCATGAAGAACAAGGATATGTCTTATTCATCTTTATATCCTCAGCTTCTAGCATAATGCTTAGCTCAAAGTAAGTAATAATGTTCAAGCAATGCTTGTTGCTTTGAACCAAACTGGGAAAATACACCTTTGGTCCAAACTTCATTCCATATTAAGCACTACTTTTAAAGTACCTGAGTTGCAGTCCTGGTTCTTGGCCCTTAACCTTAAACTGAGTATGGTAAGCCTTTGACAGGATCCTCAGAACTGAAACACATGGGCCTGTAATCTGTCATGTGGTCTGATTCTTATTTCTTGGATAAGCTAGTATCAGTGTACAAAAGTAATGCACTTTCAGTGCAGGATAAGAATGTGCTTATGAGTAAGAATGGAATAAAGGTCTTGTTTTTCCATGTTTTAAATAGCAGATACATAGCATCTTATGACATAATTAGCATTTCTGGACGCTCAACATAATACACTGTATTACAATGAAATGTGGTGGTAGGCTTCCATTTTAGGAGCAAAAGTAAGTTTCACGTAAAAAAACTATTTTATTTGTAGCATTTAAACAAACGCAGAGGAGCTTCAAGATGTACAGTCTCCATGTGGTCTGAAAAGCAGGTACAAAAAGCTTCTTTTACAATTATTGATCATCCCCTCGTTGCCTTAAATTTCTAGATTTTCCATTTTCAATTCTTCTCTTTTTAAAGACTGGGGCCACTCCATCTGCCACGATTCCAAGAGAAGTAACTGTTTTTTCTTTAAATACCACTTTAGGTTGTCCACCAATATCAGGTTCTGAAGTTGATACATACTCATTTTCAGTGCATGGTAGTTCAAAATCTACCTCCTCGCTGAAAAAGAAAGTAAGAATAAAACCATTACTTACTAGACTAAGACAAACTTTTACACAACCTCCAAGTCCACCACAGGCCCAAGATCATCGTTCTAATGATAGTGAGAAGTTAAAAGTCATTTCAAAGTAGGAACTTTAAAAATACTGATTTTATAATATTATTTAATATACAGAGTACTTATTTAGGGGGATACATGTCCGGGAAATTCTTCTTATTCTATTCTTTTAATTTCTATTATTTTATTCCTTCTGCACAAAGCACGTATCATCTAAGGAAATGCTTGTGCTTACACAAGACTAGCAGTATAGGTTGCAATGGTGGCTATGGGACAGTTATTTATGGAAAACTGGTTTTGCCATGAACTGTCAACAAGGGCTCTGGGGGCTTACACAGCACGTGATGAAAGCCATGGAATCCCACTGTCCTAGGGTAGGAGACTCTACGTGGCTGTTTGCCTCGCATTCCTTTTCTAAGATCTAGCCACCCACATGGTTAGTGAGAGTAATCAGTTGAGTAGTCTAGAGATTGGTACCTGATTGACATGAACCTGTCATAGTATTCTACCCTCTACACAGTCAGCTGGTCCCTGAAAGAGCTACTAAGTCATGCCACACCCATCAGTCCCCCAGTGAACTTTTTGAACATGGCCCAGAAAGACCATTATGTTTAACTGTCTACTGGCTAAGAACATAAAACCTGCAGGGAACTATATATCCTCCTATTTAAAGGAATTCTGCAATGACTGAGAATAAAGCTGGCTTACAAGGAAAAGCAGCAATGAGGGGCAGGGGGCAAGAGAGAGAATCCTGCCAATTCAAGCCTTGCTCTAGTTAGCCCCTCAGGCTCAGCCCAATTCCTTCTTTTCCTGCAGCTTGGTAGGTAGAACCTTCCTGGGAATCTTTGAACTAACAACCTATTTCTTATTTAAGGGAACTATCACTTGAGTTTCTATCACTTGAAAGCAAAAGATTTAACTGGTTAGTATTTATTATAGATTGACCATATAAACAAGGGTTTATGTCTAAGTTCTCTATTTTGTCCCATTGATCTGTGTGTCTATTTCTGTGCCAGTACCATGCTGTTTTGATTACTACAGCTTGGCAGTATATCTTGAAATGTGGGGTTGTGATATCTCTGGCTGTGTTCTTCTAAGACTGCTTTGGCTGTTTAGGGTCTTTTGGGGTTCCATACAAATTTTAGTATTATTTGTTCTAGTTCTGTGTAAAATGCTATTGGTATTTTGATAGGGATAATACTGTATCTGTAGATTGCTTTATATAGTACGGACTTTTTAACCGTATTAATTCTCCTAACCCATAAGCATGCAGCATGAAATATCTTTCCATTTGTTTGTGTTGGCTAAAACTTAATATATGCTATCAGGTCAATTATCTTCAAGGTACACGATAACAAATTTGCTTCCCTCTCCAAAAGACAATGTAGAAAGGCCTACAGAAATAGTTTTACAAAATCTTTTCATGTCCCATCCTATATATACAGGAATAAAAACAGGTTTAAAAAAGTAGGTTTCTAGGCATTGTAATAAATATCTTTTAAGATTTTAAGTAATCTCTATACCTAATGTGGGGATCAAACAACCCCGAGATCAAGTCACATGTTCTGCCAAATGAGCCAGCCAGGCACCACTAATTTTTTTTTTAAATGTAAAAATAGTTTGGAAATTTGCTAGGCATACAGCAAAACAAAAACAGAGAATGTAAGTACAAAAATAAAATTTCAAACTAGTAATGGCTAGTTAAAAACTAAAACAAAACTTTTCTACATAACATAAACATTTCTTCAAAATCTGATGAGGGGATGCAGCAAATAGGGATTCTCATTGGAACTGGTCTTAAATCTGGTTTGTTCTGAAAAGAGATGCCTTCTAAAACTTTTCTTTACTGTATTAAAAATATATGTTGGGGCGCCTGGGTAGCTCAGCTTTAACGGTTAAGTGGCTGGCTCTTGGTTTCAGCTCAGGTCATGATCTCATGGTTCATGAATTTGAACCCTTCATTGGGCTCTGCAGTGACAGTGCAGCCTGTCTGGGATGCTCTCTCTCTCTCAAAATAACAAATAAACTTAAGAAATATGTATATTGTATTAATATAATTAGTACATATATTAAATGCCATTTTTGTTTGCTTTTCCTATTTCCCTATTTCCTCTTAGACTGCCAACAATGGTGCTTTTTCTAAGAAGGTTAGTAGCCCCTGCAATTGATAGAGTATTAATTCTTGGCTTTTTATTCTTTTATTACAGGAGAAGAAACAGGTTTAAAGAGGTTAAATAACATGACCAACCAAACTGTTATGTAAGTAGTAGAGCTTGGATTAAAATTCATGCCTGTCTGACCTAAAACTTGTATCCTTTCCCCTAAACCATTCTGCTTCCAGGTGAAACTAAGAAATTCTATTAGCCAAGGAGAGAAACATTTGAGGAATAAAGTATAGCAGGGTTTGGTCACTGGAAAAATGAATCTGTATCCAAGAAAATCTGACATGAGATTCACTTATTTCATTTGAATCTTGGTGCTTCTTATTGTATTTTGATAGAGTGATCAAGCTCTAACATTTTTTTTTTAAGTTTATTTATTTATTTTGAGAAAGAGAGTGTGAGCTGGGTAGAGGCAGAGAGAGAGAGAGATTGAGAATCTCAAGCATGCTCTACACTGCCAGTGCAGAGCCCGATGGAGGGTTCGAACCCAAGAACTGCTGATCATGACAGCCGAAATCAAGTCTAGCACTTAACCTACTGAACCATCCAGGTGCCCCTAGCATTTCTTAAGTGGGATTATGGGAAAGATAAAATAAAATAGAGAAGGGTTCCATCTTTGAAATGACAGTTCTAGGAAGTTCCAAACTGGAGGTTAACAGAAGTGGCACTGAAGTAGGATATATATCATCATGACAGACTTAAAGAAGAAGTTTGTATTTGAAAGAAAAGGCAAGAGACTGCAAGTAAATCTATTACAGAGAAATGTCTATTCAAATAACTTTGGAATAGTTACAAAAAGTAATTATACAAGCACTTCCACAAAACCATACTCATTTCCAAATTCAAAATGCAAGAACTGCAAAGGTTATAGTGTCTGAACACAACAAATAAAGGTGGAAAAAACACCCCCCCACGTGCATATTTTAAAATATGAAAATTAATAAAAGGAAACCTTTAAACAATTGTTTTAAAAGGAAATCTCATTTAGAATGGAGTCAGGAGGCCAGCAGGGCAAGCTCTCAAACCCTTCCACCTCTCAATTCCAGATCCAATGGGAAGAGAGGGACACTGCACATGGATACTATTTTGCTATCCCAACAGGAGGAAGAAAGGCTTTCCTCCTCCTCCAAGCAACAATCTAGTCACTGAGACACTCACAACTCAGCCAATGAAAAGCCATTATATTTCCAGTTCCTAGTTTACTCTAATGGACTTTTTTGTTTATAACAGCCTTCCCAACATCCTTCTTTCCTCTTTATTAAAGGGGATCCCTCTCCTTCCTTCTGAAGACTTGCCTATTGTTTTGCCCTATCTTGTTTGTCCTGGACTGCAATTCTCTAGTATTACCGAATTAACCTTTTTTTTTTTTTCTGGTTAAAAAAACTGGCAATCTTATTAATTTTAAAAGTTTATTTTGAGACAGTGAGTATGTGGGAGGGGTAGAGAGAGCAGGAAAGAGAACCCCCAGCAGGTTCTGTGTTGTCAGCATGGAGCCCCACATGGGGCTCAAACTAATGAACTGTGAGATCATGATCTGAGCCAAAAATCAAGGGACAGAGGCTTAACCAACTAAGCCAACCAGGCACCCCTGGCAGCTTTAAGGTTACCATTACTTGATCAAAAAGAGATCCAGTGAAGACCCTCAACAACTCTGAGGCTGGTGAGTGAAAAGATGACAGTAAATACAGAGCCAATTGGATATGGTGTCTTCTTGCCAACCATGGAGTTTGAAGGTAAGTTTTCTCCTGGATTTTGAGTGCCGTGCTTTGTGTTTAAGCCTCCAGGCTTCATTTGGAATCTGTTTTCAGGCCTTGTTTTTCTTCTGACCCCCAAACTGAGAGTACTTGTGTGGCCTTCGGTCTGACTCCTTTTAGGACTTGATATCTTTTAGGACATGATGAAACCATGCTGGTCTCTGGCTTGACCCCTGTCTGGAACTGGACTGTGTCTACTGAGACTGTTCTAGCCCTTGGTCTGACTCCTTTTTGGATTCGGACTGTTCCTGTTGAAACCGTGTTTATATTTTTATTTTATTTTTAAAGTCTTCTTATTTTTGGGAGAGAGACTGTGAGCAGGGGAGGGGCGGAGAGAGGGAGACACAGAATACAAAGCAGGCTCCAGGTTCTGAGCTGTCAGCACAGAGCCAGATGCAGGGTTCAAACTCACAAGCTGTGAGATTATGACCTGAGCCGAAGTCCGACACTTAACCGACTGAGCCACCCAGGTGCCCTGAAATCGTGCTGTTTAGAAATTTCTTTCTGCTCTAGAGAAAAGCCTCTAAGAAATGGGAGAACAGTCAACAAAATGCTCAAGGGTGTCCACTTCTCATGTTTCTGGGATTCTGGCTGGTTTTATGTTTAAAATCTATGGTTCTGGGATGCCTGTGGCTCAGTCAGTTGAGCATCCAACTCTTGATTTCAGCTCTGGTCATGATCCCAGGGTGGTAGGACCAAGCCCTGCATTAGGCTCTGCACTGAGCATGGAGCCTGCTTAAGATTCTCACTCTCCTTTTGCACCCCCCACCCCCAACTCACTCACTCTCTAAAATAAGAATAAAAAAATCCCACATTGGGCTCTGTGCTATTAGCACACTTCAAGTTCTCTGTCTCCCTCTCTTTCTGTCCTCCCCCATTAATTCACGCTCTCTCTCTCTCTCAAAAAAAAGGGTCCCTGGGTGGCTAAGTCAGTTAAGTGTCTAACTCTTGACCTCCCGTTCAGGTCATGACCTTGTGGTTTGTGGGTTAGAAACCCACTTCAGACTCTGTGCTGGCAATGTGTAG